GCGCATCACGTTCACAAATTCCCGTTACATCCTGGTCAATGGTGCACCCGAGGTCCACTAATCTGCCACCATATAGTGGAGTGGCACTTGCCGGATCGATGTCTACGACAATTTGGACGTGAGCAATGCATACCATTGGATGTCCCGGAGAGTCAGAAGGGGTACCACGGGAAAGATGGTCGACAAGGACCTACTAATTGGCCGGAGGAGTATGAAAACTTGATCCGCCTGTGGAATGTTAGGCAAGATCAGGATATTGTGACGGCATCTCATGTGGGGCGGATGGGCTACCATGATCCATACCTGGAAACCTACCGAAGACAATCTGTTCGTTACAAGACCCCCGAAGGAGCGGCGGACGGAGCTTTGGTAAGTAATTATTTTTTTATTTATTTAGTCATGCGGTGCATTATTTTTTAAATGGCTAACTTTGTTATTTTCTTCGATTTAGGTTGATGGCATTGAGCGAATCCACGACCTCGCGCGGACGGCAGATCATTTGGCGGCGGGTCGAGAGGTGGGGCTCATTCGAAGGATAGCGAACAATCTCCTTGGCTGTATGCGAGCGCGCGGACATGACCATCATAGATACCCTCCAGTACCCCCAGTGAGACCGCCGCCGGTGACGCAGGATGTTGAGCCGGTGCCTCAGCCGGTCCATAGAAGGCCAAACAAAGCTACAAGGGATCGACCTCACGTGCCGGAGATCAAGCCGATTGCGGCGTGGAAGGCGCCTACTCCTTTGGAGGTGTGTAGCGGTGAAGGGGGGAGTACTCACTGCGATCCCACGCCCGAAAGCCAGTATGATCCGCGGTCGAGTTTCCAATACAATCTCCGGCCCAGCTTTCAGTATGAACAACGGCCAAGTACATTTCATGATGACACATCCTCAGCTACTTGGGCTGAGGGTTCATACTCAAGTCCCCACCAAGACTACTCACCTCTGCAGCGACCACAACAACAATGGCAACAACAATGGCAATCCAGTCCTCACCAAGACTTCTCACCTTGGAATCGACCACAACAACAATGGCAACAACAATGACAATCCACTCCCCACCGTATGAGCATGGATAGCCCTCGACCGCAGACGGAGGGGCCACCTATCACGGAACCGAGGCGCCATAGCACGAAGGATCGCCCTTCTACGGCGAATAGGAATCTGCCACCCGTTCCACCATCAGCTACACCCGGTGGACCAGTCGCCCATCGCACAAGGAAACAGAGGGCAAATCGTCGAAATAATGCATGAGTGTGACAAGTTGTGTTTATTTCAAGTTATGTTTTGTTTAAATTAAGTTGAACAATGGTGTTTTTAGTTGAAGTTTTTTTTTAGTTTTTTCATGTAGTGTGTTTGTGTTCGTGATCTGTTTTATTCAAAAAGATGGAAAATTGCACCAAAGTTTGTGTTTTGTGCAAATCTCCAATGTCATTTAAGCACACAACATACAAGTAGAGTAACCATTGAAATTAATACACAAAGATGGAACAAACGCATGAAATCAATCTAAGCGCCATTATCCGGGTTCACCACATCGGGCCTTGCATTTTGAGGACCAATTGGTCCGGGACATTTTCGTTTATCATGATCGGGTACTTTGCATATGGAACACCGCCTTGGCCCTCGCGGTTGTCTTCCACTTTGATCCATTTCATTTGGAATCCTTTTTACGCGGGGGCGCCCTGTTACCCGCCTAAGACCGATTGGTGGAATGATGACCATACCCTCATAAACTGGCCAATAAGCTTCATGCGGCAATGCACGGAAACTAGTACGATAACTGCTCTTTTGTGAGTCAATGTTGAAGAACGGACTGACGAAATGACGAGGGTCTTTGCTCCTGTGCTTTATTACAGCCATTGCATGGGAACATGGTATCCCTCTACCCTGATACTTCTGACAAGAGCACTCCCCCTTTTTAGTCCTAAAGTTGATGGTGACTTCATGGCGATGACCCCCACGTCTCCCATCCTCCTAGTGCCCAGTCTCGACCGAATACTCGCCAGCATTTCGGTTCATCACAGTGACTGTGTGACGAGAGCTCTTCCGATTATCTTTTTCCATTATTTTTGTGACATAATCGGAGTGTACCTTACCCTGTGCCTCCCTCTTCTCACACCAGTGGAGACGGTTGACGAACCATCTATTTGTTTTCCAGAATGTCATCTCAACAATTGCAGAGATGGGGAGTGCACGACATTCCCTGTAGACGTTGTTGATACTCTCGCTTGAGTTTGTTGTGGCAATATCCCATCTGTGACCTCCGTCCTTATGAAAAGTCCACATTTCAAGGTCATGTTGATCAAGCCACTGCGCACCTTCAAGGCATATTTGACGGATATTCTGCATCTTCTCTTTAAATTTCTTCTCTTGGTACGCGACAGCTGATGAATATAAAAAAACGTCAGATAAGCAAGATCGACCTTATTGCCAATACAAGTACACTCGTAAGACTATTAGGAGAGGTATACATCTCCTTAGAAACACAGTCTTTTTGACAGAAAAAGGGGAGATCCGAGGATCGCTTAGAACCCGATTTTCCTAGGTCATGGGGGGATCATGATGATCGCTTAAGTCCCCATTTCCTTAGACATGCATTTCTTTATAAAGAGTCTAGATAAGTGTTGTATTGTATTGAAACACTCCATACTTTTATACAGTTGAAAAAATTTACAGATACACAATTAATTAGAACGCTTACCGATCCACCATCTACTGTCAGCAAGCTTCTTTCGCTTGAAATGATGGTTCCAGTTGCTCTTGAAATGCCGTATGCACCATCTCTGTGACCAGTTCCAGGCTGGATCCAAGCCTAAGATAGCAGCCCGTATTCCGGCGTGGCGATCTGAGAGGATAGTCAGGTTCGTCCGCCTGGTGACATGGAGCTGAATTTGTCTGAAGAACCATCCATAGCTATCGGTATTCTCTCCCTCCACAATGGCAAAGGCTAATGGATATACTAATCTATTTTGCATCTGCTCCGCTGGCAATCAGTAGAGTACCCTTGTACTTGCCGGTGAGGAATGTTCCATCAACTTGAGTCACAGGAACACAGTATGGAAAACCATCAATACATGGCTTGAAGGCCCAGAAAAGACGCTTGAATTGGCGATTGTTACCAGGCACCGACGGTTGAATTTCTTCATCTTGGTAGCGAGGCGAGAAAATGGTGCCAGGGTTAGACACCTCCAACGCCAAAATCAATATGGGAAGGAATGCATATGATTCTTCCCTGTCACCAAACACGACAGCCATTGCTTTCTGTTTCCCATGCCACGCTTTCTTGTAGTTAATGATATAACCATAACGACTAGAAATGTGGGCGATAATGGTTTTGACCTTCAGGTCGGGCTGCTCCTCAATTAGATGTTTGATAGCCGCGGCAACTACCCTTGATTTCAACTGTCGATGGCCTTGGGATGTTATTGATGACACACATGTGTGTGTGTTCACCGCACGTGATATGACCCAATGGCCTACTCTCTTGCTCTTGATGGCCCGGACCCTAGCTTTGCATCCCTCATTTTCATTTTTGCATCGACCCATCAGCCTCTTTGTGTCGGAATGGGTTGTTTGCCATTCAAAACTCCGAGTCATTGCTTCAGTGGAAATAGCGTGTCGGACCTCATTCTTCGTTGCAAATTGTTGGCCCTTCGTAAAGCCAGTTAGTGGACCCCATACTGGCACATCTAGCGGGTCCATGTCGGCATCAACATACCAATCTTCATTTTGAATGTGATTGTAGTATGGAATAGGTACACGGTCGTGAGCTACCTCATCACCATCTGCGTCTGAATCTGGACCGGAATCATCCGCACCTTCCAGCGGATCGTCGCTGTCTGCACTAACTTCGCCTTCCTCTTCTTCAACCTCAGGGTCACTAACTGGACTTGGATTGACCTCTTCTTCCATCGGATTATCAGCATGAAAGGCACCTTCACCTTCACTAGCTCCGTAATGGTAGTTGTGGTAACTAACACCGCTTTGATAGAAGTTGTACTCGGGTGGGTACTGGTAGCCTGCTTGTTGGTTGTAATCCGCCTGTTGAGCTTCTTCTTCATATGAAGGGAAGGATTGATGACTTCCTCCAGTTCCATGATGATACTCCTGCCTCCAGCTCGACTCTTGGAAATCCTGGTGGGGATGATCTTCGTATAATACACTCCCACCGTGGATACCAGATGTTTGGCCATCTCCAGAATGACCTACACTGCCTTCGACAACCTCGGTGTATACGAACATCTCCGCTTGCTTAATTTTATTGGTGGTCAAAAATTGGACCATGGCATCAACGTCCTCCTGAGTGGTAAGGAGGAATTCCTCATTCCACAGCGACCCGTCATGTCTGTTTGGATATCGATACACCATTCGATCAACTCTTCTAGTGCCATCCATGCAGGTAATCTGAGTGCACATTTGATGAAGCTCTTCAAGCATCGGTCTCGTACGGACCTTCATTTTATAAAAATTGCCACCGACATAACTTACACCCTTTTCGGTCTCTTCCGTGTAACCATTCCACCGCAACCCAAGCGTGAACCTTTGGAATGCCATCTGCAATGAAAAGTAATACAAGTTACTAACATAACATCACAAAGGACAATGAAAAGTAATTAAGTTACTAACATAAAATCACAAATGACAATGAAAAGTAATTAAGTTACTAACATAAAATCACAAAGGACAATGAAAAGTAATTAAATTACTAACATAAAATCACAAAGGACAATGAAAAGTAATTACGAAACAAACTTACGAATTAACGTTAATCGCAAAAACTAAATAATTTAAAGCTGAAATTTTAATATTGAAGAGGAGGAGGTGTGAAGAATTGAGTTCTCTGAAACCGCCTTTTATAGGCAAATTTTGCAGCAAAACCGCTTGGGTGGGGGGGGGGGGGGGAGCGGTTTTAGGTCTGCCATGCAGCCCTACCAGCCCTACCCCCTGCATGCCGACATGTCAGACATGTTGGCTGTCGGGTGACCAGGCACAAACCGCGCCTTGGGGCAGCGGTTTATGTACTGACATTGTAAACCGCCGCTTGGGGAGGCGGTTTGTAATGCCGACAGTTAAACGCTCCCTCTTGAAGCGTTTTGTGGTAGGGTTAGCCTATAACCGCGCCTTCCAGAAGCGTTTTTTTCTGGAAATTAAAAACGCTGCCTGGAGGCGCGGTTATAATGTAAAACGCTTCCTGGAGGCGCGGTTTTATTAAAAACCTCTCATTAGAGGCGCGGATTAATATAAAGGATGGTATTTTTGGAAATTATTTGGAGTGAGTGGTATTTTTGTAATTTTTTTTAAACAGTGGTAGTTTTGGATTTTTTCCGTGTCTGCGGTGTAACCAATAACCGGATCAGAATTGATGTTTGATGGTTACACTGTCGATTAAACAGTAAATGATTAGCTAATTACTAACTGACAGTTAAACAGTAGCCGACGGTTAAACGGTTAATCGAGTAATCGTTACGATCATTTTCATATACGTCGAAAATAATGAGATGTTTGAAGACCTACAACATCTATTTTTTTTACCATAGTTGTAATAGTGGCTTAGATTCAAATGAGAATAATTTAAAAGAAGTGATTTACAAGGAGTACAGTAAAAAGTTGGACTTTCACACAGTTGCTCAACAACAATCAGTAACATTTAACCTTCCATGTAATTTGGTGGGGTTTATGAGTTGAGTAATTGTTGTTGGGTCTCTTATTCTTGTCTTCTTCTTTAATCAAATTTGACGGTAGAATTGTTATTGTGTACATGTGTTGGATTGAGTTGATTATGCATTAATATCTATGCTAAATTATTTTTTATTCAATAATAAAAAATTAAGAAAAGAACAAATGGTTATGCACGAAAAATCTAGATAATAAACCATTAAAAAAGTAGAGGCTGATTAAGTTATCGATCCGTTATTTTAGTTAGGGCTGTCATTTCGGTTGCCGGTTAGCGGCTAACCGGCCGGTCTAACCATTAACTGCCGGTTAGCAGCTAACCGGAAACCGAAAAAACAAGTGGCGGTCGGTTGTCGGAGGTGGTTAGTGGTTAGGCGGTTAGCCGAAAAACCGATGTCGGTTAACCGGCTAACCGACGCTAACCGACCGACCTAAACGACGTAGTTTTGCCATCCCTAAAACACCCCAACCCTAGTAGCTTGGCCTTCGTTCCTCCCTCACAAACACATCGGCCAATCCATCGCCCAGCCGCCTCCACACATCGCCCAGCCTTCTTCTCAGAAGCGGCGACGACTCCCCTCCCCTGCGCTCCGCCACCTCCACACTCCCATATCGGCCAGCCCGTCGGCGACGACTCCCCTGCGTTCCTCCGCCCTCACCGCTTCGCCTCCACCCTACCATCTCGGCCGATCCAATCGGCAGTACCCCAGGTGGAGAGATCGGAAGGGTTGTAGAGGACGGCGTTGGAGGCGAGGAGGGAGAGGTGCTGGGAGGGCGAGTTGAGCATGGCGGTCTCGAGCCGCTGGGCGACGTGGCGATGGTCGGATGCACGGACCTTGTACCCGGCTCTGGCGAGGAGGCCGTCGATTTAAGGCGGCTTGGAGATGGTGGTGGTCGTGGAGGAGGACGAAGTCACCGGCAGGTTGCGATTGGAAACGCGGCGGTCTCGTATGGAAAAGCAAAGGAATTAGGGGTTTTGTTGCTGGGTAAAGGAAAAGAAAAGGAGAAGGGGAGCAGAGGGATTCTTTTCTAATTGGTGGGTTGGCGATTGGAAACGCGGCGGTCTCGTATGGAAATGAAAAGGAATTAGGGGTTTTGTTGCTGGGTAAAGGAAAAGAAAAGGAGAAGGGGAGCAGAGGGATTCTTTTCTAATTGGTGGGTTTTTTTTATATAATTTTGTTAATTTAGTTTTTTTTTCCTATTGTTCGGTCGGTTACTGGTCAGTTACCGGTTGGTTTTAAGTGTCAAACGAATCGGCCTTTGTTTTTCGTTCCCATCGGTTAAACCGCGGCAAAACCGAAAATCAACCGGTTGGTCGGCGGCTAACCGAGGCTGGAGGACGGTCGGTTGGCGACAGCAGTTGGTCGTGTCTCAGTTTAACCAATAAACGAGATTTCAGTTTTCGGTTTAACCGAAACCGACCGGCTGCCAACCCTAATTTTAGTATAATCTTGCCGAATCAGTTGTTTGACGTATCCAGTTGACAAAATAACTAAGAATCAACTATAACATTACGGTCAATCGACTAATAGAAATGATGTAATTAATGATAAACACAAAGTGTTTAATGATTAATCGAGAACCAACTAAACGGTTTCGATTATAACCGAACCGATAGCCAGCCCAATACAAGTGAGTAGTGATATACGTCAAGTTAATGGAGCTTGGATCATGTTGACTATTGGTCCAATACAGACGAGGAAAATGATTCTCTTAGTGGGCTTTAGCCCAAACTGCTATCGTGGCCTCGCGGAAGACTAATCCAACACTGATAAATAAAAGGGGGGGGGGGGGGAAGGAAAACAGAAACCGCCCAATAGAATAGAGAGAGGGCAGTCGGGCGGCGGCCGGAGACGATCTTTCTTCTCTCTCGCTGGTTCTTTTCTGCTAACCTCCGTCGCCATGGGCTCCATAACCAAGCGGAATATCGCCGCCGAAACGGACGAGGGTTCCACCCGCAAGCGCCGCCAGGTAGCGGGTGAATTAGAATTAGTTGGTGATGATGAATTGCCTTCCGATGTTGTGAACGATATTCTGTCTCGGCTGCCAGTGAAAACCCTAATCCGATTCAAGTCCCTGTGCAACGCATGGGCCGCCATAATCACCAACAATCCACACTTCGTCTCCATGCACCTCAAGAACTACACCAATCACTCCCTCTTGTGCACCTACTCTGCCTCCTTTGGTCCCCAATCGATTTCACTCTGCCCCGAAGCCGAAGCCGAACCCGGTCAACGACGGCTGATCAATCTAGGCCAGCAGATGGCCAAGGATGTCATCTGTGGCGGTGGGGGAAACGGCCTGTTTCTTCTCGGCAATCCACGTAGGCAATACCCTGATTACCGTTTGTGGAGCCCGGCAACTCGTGAAATCAAGCTTCTCCCAAACCCTCCTCTGGCGCCCCCAATTAGCTACCCTCTGGAGTCGATATCGCCAGTCTATTCACGGCATTCGTGCGATTACTGTGGAGTTGGTGAAGATCTAGTTGCCAATGATATCAAGGTCATTCTGATTCGTAACTACGTTTGTCATGTTGATATTGGCAACTACATCCCTTCCTCTGCCTTCCATTCATCAGTTTTTGTGTATACATTCCGCAGCAATTGTTGGACGGAGGTAGCAGGAGGCTACCCATACCAGGAAGGACGGAATTATTCTGATTACCACACCTTAAATCGCCATGCTTACTCTGAGGGGATCTTCTACTGGGTCTTTGACAAATATAGTAGATATGTGGTGGCATTTGATATGGGAAGTCATGTTTTCCACAAGATAGACTACCCTTCCGGCCGTTCTTGGTATAATTGTACTCTCAGTACGTATCGCGATTCGATTGCTTTGTTTAACGGGGAGTTTGGTGATTGTTTGAGGCCAGTTGATGTGTGGTTGCTGAGGAGTGGTGGTGAGAGAGAATGGGGTTGGAGTAGACATTCAATTCCTTGGCCTTTCTCTGGGAGGGCAGTGGTGATGGGGTATTGGAAGGATGATCAGGTTATCGTCGGGTCAATTGGTGTTGCTAGATACCTGTGGTCGTACGGTGAAAGTGTTGCTCAAGGATTACAAAGGGGCCAAGGGTTGGCATGTTTATAGAGAGAGTTTAGCCCCCAATCAAATGACAGTTGGATGTTTTCTCCCCTTTTGAAAACTTACTAAAGATGATGTATGTTATTCCGAATTGGTGATATTATTATTACTTATTAGGGTTGGTCGGTTACCTAGTTGAATATTATAACTTTATTATTTGTATTTTTGGTTAATTTTCTATTTCTATATATACCTACTTCAAGTTTTCCGTCAAAATTAAGCAAAGATCAATACAAAAAGCATTTCAAACCCTAGTCTTTCTTCCTCTCAAATTTTGTCATCTCTTCCTAAGGCCGCAGATCATTCCTCTTCCCAAATCCCAATCCTCAATTTCCTCTTCCTGCCCCATATCTCAATTCTTCTTCTAATCCCTAGATATCCTTTACAATCTCTAAATCCTTTCTCATTTATTCAATTGCGTCAATTGCAAGTTACGTGAAGAAGTGTAGTTCTTACAATTTGTTTGACTTTCTAATGATTTTTGTGTTTGATTCAAGCATATTTACATATAAATATGTGTCAATTTGTACAATAACAAATTTGAGTGTTTTTTTATCAACCGAAGATACAAAATACTTATTTTCTTTGTAATGTAACTTATCGAATTCGTGAACAATGAATAAATGGGGTCGTTTGGATGTGTCAATTTGAAAATGAGACAATTTGGCTAATTGTCTCATTTTATGAAATGTGTCAATTAAAACGAGGTCAATTTGAATGATCAACTCTCCCTCCAGAAATTGATTCAAAATGATTTAATTTGAAATTTCCTAAGCAAATTGATCCATCCAAAGTTTATGTCTAAAAAGGGGTCAATCTGGTATTATGTTAAAATGAGACAATTGAGTTAAATTGATCTGTTACAATTGACGTCCTCACTCCCTCCACCAAGTGTTGTGTGGAGTTTCAGCCTCCAATCCCGTTCTTTGCCGACGCTGCACCGCCACTACCTCAAGCAGAAGTTGAACTTCGCTTCTCCCGATTCAATTGAGATTGTTTGTCATTTAGGCAGGGGCGTAGCTAGAGTATAATAAGGGGTTATCATGGCACCCCATTAGATTGGGAGAAAGTACAGAATTTTAGTAGTATTAGTTAGTTAATGTTGATATTTAAATCCTAAATTTCAATGTCAATCGTAAAATCTTCTACCGTTATATCACAACAAACTAATAAGTTAATTTCATCTACGAATTTGTACATGAAAATTAGTTTCTATCAATGTGTTTGTTTGTAAAAATAGATTTGATTTGCCACTATCATCTATCAATGCACAAGTTGATAGCATTTTATGATATGAAACGATTGATCAGCATTTGCATCTAGTGAACTAAAGTTGTGAATGATTATTTGGTGGGATATATTAAGTGCGAAATCTTGATAGTTTGGTCGATTCATATAGTTATAGAATAATTTCACCATATAAAACACGAGACCGCATATGTCATTTTTTATAGCACCCCTTGAATAAAATCCTGACTACTGTATTTAGGCCGTCCAATTGAGCAAATTGATCTATTGCGAGATTTGAGAGAAAATTTTGATCATAGATTGCATGGAAAATTGAAGAACAATAGAGTATCAGCTTGCTCTGCGCAAGGTCGAACATAGAGAGGGAAAAAATGGAAAGAGAGATTAGTAGGTTTATTTTGTGGTGGTATGGTGGATGAGTGTAGCTGAGCAAGAGATAAGGTGTGCAAAAAGAAAACTAAAAAATGATTAATTTATCAAAATAAAATAATTATTATATTTAATTTACTAACGAACTTAACCTAATAAAATATCCGCCCTCTTTTGATTATTATTTTCTATCTAAATTATAGTAATCACTAATATATGTTAGGTAATAATTTATCCTTAATTAGATTGTAAATATGAAAAAAATAATTAAACATAATATAATAATAACGCTCTCTTCACACTTTTAATGTTGAATTCTTGTAACATAGACGCTCTTACACTCCCGCTCTACAAACTAGTTATCTAAGATAAACCACTGCAAAGAAAACAACTTCTCTCTATTCCTTTTTCTGCTTTCTCTTTTTATACCCCAACATTCTATGCAACTTTTCCTTTTTATAAAAAAGATCTTCACCAATAATCAGATAACAAATTTTTTATTTTTATATGGTTATTACAGACAAATAAATAGAATATTGATTACCATAATTGATCGATTACTAAGTGCAAGAGCCTTTTATTCCATGAGGTGAGCAGCTCTATAAAATTTTTGAAGAGCAAAATGACACGACCCTGACCCAGATAGAGAGATAATGAGAGAAAGTTCTTACGATTACCCCATATGAGAGTAATAACCATTGTGGTTTGTGTACATATGTTAAGGAAATGGAAAGAACTCCTACAAAGCAAATCAAACATCCGGAACCGCTGGTGTTCTAATAAAAGTTTCATCTTTCATAATACATAAACAAAAAACCCAAACATGGAAAAATAAAACTAGCTATAAGTGAGAATTTAAGGCATATTCGGAATTATTAAAAACAACAACAATATTTGTTGCATATAAACCAATATAATGAGAATCATTCCCGAAAGTGTAAATTGCAATAAATGCAAGACAAGTCTCAATTATATGAGTCAACCAATCAAATGGAAAAGGAAAATATTAATTATTAATAAATAAAAAATAAAGAAATTCAACGAAAAAAAGAAAAAAAACAAAAGAAAAGAAAGAAATTATAGGAAAAAAATACTGAAATGAATAAATTAAAACAGATACAAGGCAAAACGAAATCTTTCATTGAAGTTTGAACCCAAATGCCTCAATCAAGATCCTATTAACCGTGAAGCCCAAATTAAAATTGGGAAATAGACCAACCATTGCCACAATTTAAGAGCATCTCCAATGATGGATTTTTCTCCAAAATAACACTATTTTAATTTTTTTTATTACAAAAATGGCACCCAATTCACACAAATTCTAAAAATAACACCATTTATTAAAAACCGCACAAGGTGTGGTTTATAAAGAAACCGTAGGCCGAATGTGCGGTTTATAGAGTAACCGCATGGGGAAGCCACGGTCTCTACTAGGGAAGCCTGGGAACTGCATAGGGAAGCAGCGGTTTCCGTAACTGTCGGATCAAGGAGTGATCCAACGGCGGACCGTGCGCCAACGCATCTATCTGCGTTCGGGATTGTAGATCGCATGTCGACGGGGCGGTTTCTAGTCTCGAAAAACGCAAACCGTTCTCTAGGGGAGCGGTTTCTGTTAGGCAAAAATAACAAAACCACACCTGGAGGGGGCGGTCCGAATCCTATATAAACCCCCTCCCCCTCTCCAATTTTTTCACACCAAAACCCATTCTTCTCTCTCTAAAATTATATCTCTATCCAGCCTCCTCTCCCCCCAAAAACCTAGGAAATAGTGGTCTGTTGGTTGCGGCTAAGTCCGATCTGCCATCAGGAAATATTTCTATTCTCTAGAAGCTTGCGAAGTAGTGAGGAATCCTCTAGAATATTCTGGAGATGTATGGAACCTTTGTGGAGTTGTGTAGATTTCCCTACAGAATTCTAGAGAAGAGATAGTTGTATGTATATATTTTTGTTGAGGAAGATATTTGTGTGGATAGTCCTGGAGACTCATCCACAACCGTAGGATTAAATCAATCCTAGCCATCCATTTGAGGAGGTGGAGGCTATAAGGAGGAGAGCTCCTCATTTGTAACCATCCTAGCAAAAAAAAAAAAAAAAAAAAAAAAAAAAACAAGAAAGAATCCACTTCTTAGATGGAGAGAGTTGAGAGACTCTTTGAGAGAAATGAGAGATAGATTGGGAAGTTCCTATCCTCAAGCTTGAGTGAGCCACCATAGAGTGATTCATTCTTGTAAACATACTATTCTTCATTATAGTAGAAGAACTCTTTGAATTGGAGAATTATACTCTTGTGCTCCCATTCCTAAATTCCTAAGTGCCTATCTTAACTTCACGAAGCAGGAAAGTCATAGGTTTTTCCCAACCGTGGTATCAGTGCACGATTCATCAAAAGCCATCACTAGCTCGTGCAGTTCAAGATGGAGGACAACATCACTCATGATGGAGACATGTTCAAGCTCATACCAATCAACTACTCCTATTGGAAGCCAATGATGGAGGATCAGGTATACTGCAAGGATTTACATGTGCCTATCATCTACAAAGACAAGGTAGAAGGCAAGAGCGATGCACAGTGGGAGCTACTAAATCGGAAGGCCATTGCGATGATCCGTAAGTATATCGACAAATCCCTCTTCGATCATGTTTCTACTTACACAATCAATTAACTAAAATTGAGATGAAGATTGATGACGAGTTGCAAGCCCTTCTACTCCTTAGTTCCTTGCCTGAAAGTTGGGACACACTCATAGTTACACTTAGTAACTCAGCTCCGGAGGGAAAGTTAACCATGGATGCCGTCAGTGATAGCCTTCTTGGTGAAGAATCAAGGAGAATGGAACGAGGTGAGTCTATCCATCCCGAAGCTAATATTATTGAGAACCGGGGTAGGAATGAGACTCGTGGATGTAGCAAGAGACGAGATCCACATCAATCTCGAGATAGATCCAAATCACACTCGAAGATCACTTGCTACTACTGTGGAAGGATGGGTCATAGGAAAGTTGAGTGTTGATCCTTCAAAATAGACCAGAATACCAGTAATGTCAAAGCAGACCAAGTCGACCCAACAAAGAAGCGAGAAGATAAGAGTACCACTGTTGTAGTCTCAAAGGAAGATCTGCTATACCTCGTTGGAGAATGTAATATGCTAAAGGTTGCCTGTGAATAGTTCTTGGATTGTTGATTCTGGTGCTTCCTTCCATGTCACTTCCCATAGAATTTTCTTCTCATCCTAGCAAAGTGGAGACTTTGGTATAATGCAAATGAGAAATCAAGATAGGAGCCAGATCATCAGAATTGGAGACATCATCCTGACAACAAGCACTAGTTCCCAACTTGCCCAAAAAGATGTGAGGCATGTCCCAGCCATGCTCCTCAATCTTATCTCCGCTGGAAAGTTAGATGATGCCAGTCTAATAAATTACTTTGGTGAAGGAAAATGGAAGCTCACCAAAGGAAGACCAATCATGGCTCGAGGGAAGAAGGAAGGATCGTTGTACGTGATGCAAGCTAAGCTATTCAAAGGAGAGGTAAACATAACCACTGATGACATGGAGGTATGGCATAAAAGACTTGGCCACATCAGTGAGAAGGGTCTCAACATACTTGTTCGGAAGCATCTCCTTGCAGACGTAAAAGGTAAACAACTTGATCCTTGTGCTCATTGTTTAGCCAAAAACAACACAAAGTTGCTTTCCAAAGATCTTCTCCACCCACAAGGATAAATAATATTCTCGACCTTGTGCACATCGATGTGTGCTCAATGTCGGATAAACCTATTGGGGGTGCATTATACTTCTTGACTTTCATTGACGATCATTCAAGGAAGGTATGGCTTCACCTGTTAAAATCCAAGGATCAAGTCCTTGATGCCTTTAAGGAATTCCACGCCCTAATAGAACGTGAGATTGGACGGAAGGTCAAGTGCGTACGGTCTGACAATGAAGGAGAGTATAGGGGCCCCTTTGAAGCCTATTGCAAGAAATATGGCATTAGGTTAGAGAAGACTCCACCTAAGACACCATAGTTGAATGGTCTAGCTAAGAGAATGAATAGAACAATTGAAGAAAGATTCCACTGCATGCTCTCTCATGCTAAGTTACCCAAGTCCTTTTGGGGATAAGCTATAATGGCCGTGAATGACATCGTCAACCTCACGCCATCGGTTCCTCTGAAAGGTTTCATCCCAGAGGAAGCATGGACGGGCAAAAGGGCTTCATACAATCATCTCAGAGTGTTCGGGTGCAGGGCATTTGTTCACATCCCCAAAGATGAGCGAGATAAGCTTGATGCAAATACGAAGGAATGCATCTACCTTCGTCCACCCAAGGATGACTTCGGCTACCAACTATGGGATCCAATCAATAAGAAGGTTGTCCATAGCAGAGATGTCATCTTCTTCGAAGACCAAAAAATTGAGGACATTAAAAAATCGGAGAAGTCGAGATTGAGAAGCAGCAAGAGCACCAAACTTACACCAGTTTAAAGTGAGGGTAATGACACACCTCAAGAACATGATGATGAATACCATGAGCCTGTATTAGAGCAAAGCAACCGAGAGACCCATGGTGAACCATCGCAGGAAGATCCTCAATCTAGCTCTCCACCAGCACCAGAGTTGAGGAAATCCTCTAGGGTCAAAAGACCATCCAATCGGTATAACATCGAAGAGTATTTGAAGTTCACGGATGAGCGGGAGCCATAAAGTTATAAAGAAGCAATCAATGATATTCATAAAGAAGAATGGCGAGAAGCCATGCAATCCTTACATGAGAATCACAATTATGAACTCGTGGAGCTACCAAAAGGGAGAAGAGCCTTAAAGGACAAGTGGGTATATCGAATCAAGACCGAAGATAGTAGTTCAAAGCCTCGCTACAGAGCTCGGTGGTAGTTTTCAAAGGATTTGTTTATGGTCAAGAAAAAAGCATTGACTTTGAAGAAATATTCTCTCCCTTGGTAAAGATGTAATCCATCCGAGTTTTCCTTGGCCTAACAGCAGTGCAATATTTAGAGATTGAACAACTCGATGTCAAGACGGCTTTCCTTCATGGTGACCTAGAAGAAGAGATCTGCATAGAGCAGCTCAAGGGATTCAAAGTTCCAGGCAAGGAAAACTTGGTGTGCCGTCTCACTAATAGTTTATATGGCCTCAAGCAAGCACCGAGACAGTGATACAAGAAGTTTGAATCCTTCATGCAGAGCATGATTTCAAAAGGACGGAAAGCGATCATTATGTCTTCATAAAGAGGTATGAAATTGGTGACTTTCTCATACTTTTACTTTATGTTGATGATATGTTGATTGTCGGACATGATCGCATAAAGATAGGTGTTTTGAAGAAAGATCTAAGCAAGAGTTTCGCCATGTAAGATTTGGGACCGACTAAACAAATTTGTTGGTTCAGGAAACTCCCGGTTCTAGAGGAGAGGAAGGCACATTTGGTGTCGTTCTATTTGGAGGGTGTTGCGTTGCAGTGGTGGGAATGGATGGAGCGGTCCTATGAAGAGACGGAGACCCCAATTACGTGGCCCCGTTTTCAGGAGGAGCTACGTTACCAGTTCGGGCGATCGGAAGGTGGGCTCCCGAGCAGTTGACAAAGCTGAGACAGACCGGGACCGTGGCCAACTATCGAGAAAAGTTTCTCAAGATGGGAAACATGTGCTAGGGGGTGCCCGAGGAGATCTTGGTTGGCATGTGCATGGCCGGACTGCGACTGGAGATCGACGCTGCACTAAAGGTATTTGAGCTTGACTCCTTAAGAACGGCCTTTCGCATTGCAGAGCGTAAGGAGGAAGAAATTGCTAGCTGGTGAAGTACAATGAGGTGCTTCCAAAAGATCAGTGGAGGGGCTAGTGGCAGCGCGTCTGGCGGAGCAGGTGGAGGAGCCAAACCGGCGCCCGGGGAAGGGGCAACGCGACACCGGCGACGACGGCAGGAACTACTTGGCCGGGACCACGAATGATTCCGAATAGGTTCGACAGGTGATCTCCTGTAGAAATCGATCAGAAGAGGTGGGAAGGAAAGCGTTTCAATTGCTTTGAGAGGTTCACCGTTTATCATCAGTGCGCGAAATCGGAGCTGATGATGCTAGTGGGGCGCTAGGAAGACGAGGCCGAGAAGTGGGCAGCCATGGAGCGAGAGGACCAGAAGGATGAGTTGGGGTTGAGGGCAAGTTGGTTTCGAAGTGGAGAGGGATGATAGAAACATAATTATTTAAGGTTTTATGAATCGGGATTATTTGTCATTATTTATAATTCAGATAGTTGAGGGATTATTAGGGTTAGGATATATTCTTTGGGTAGCAAAGGATAATTATTTTGGGTTTATATTATGTAAGCTGGGATTATTTTCATTAAGAAAGTATTATAAGAAACCCTAAACCTAACTCTCTCTCTCTCACTCCCACGTCCGAATTCTCTCCCTCTCTTCCAAGAGCTTCAGCTCCTCTCTTTCCCTCTAACTTCCAATTATTCATATCATTCTGAAGCCCTAGATATCCATAGTTCTATCATGTTATGTGAGATTGGTCATCAAGAATGTGAGATTTTGATACCGAATTAATGGTACCTCAACTACTGCTATATTTGCAGAGAAAGTTTGGTCTCCATCAAATGAGGGGTAATAGGGTTTTTGTCTTTTGAATCGTGAGATACTTTGCTTGAAATCACTTATCTAGTTTCCACGAGACCAATTTCGGTATAGTAATGCTGTCACACCCGCTCTTTCTTAGACTGTTTGATTACGCGTATGTCGTGAGTAAATATTTGAATAGGTGTTACCATCTATTAAACAATGGTCAATTATGGAATATATTGAGAATTTTTGGGACTAGTTATTTATCTAAGATAGTGAATAATGATGAAACGTTATAGTTCATTATGATCCAAGTACAAATTATATCGTTGTACATTACCTGACACCACAACCCATAACATCAAAGGTTTATTCGAGTAAACAGTTAAATTGGTTTTGGAAAAGGGAGAAGTCAACTAGTTCCACTAAGGCAAAGGAAGGGAGTCATTATCTTGGGTGTTCCATCTGCTTCTAGAGACACACAAAGTTTCATTTTCCATACTAAAATAACTAGCTAACACGTAGCCACCCCTTCAACAGTCTATTAAATGAACAAGGAGGTGGGTGTCTGGATAGATTAGCTTTGAGGGAGAAGAGTGACATGCATTCCTTATCCGTCCATCCTCCTTGAGGTTCAAGAGAGAGAGAACGACAGAAGCTTCTCATAACTTTCCTTTCCTTATCGCTATCTTGAGTTTCATCTGCATCAGTAGGAGAGAGTAGAAGCCACAGGGTTTGGTATACGGGTACTAACTACTAAAGGTAAGACCCTCTTTCTTTAATGATGGAACAAAATGAAAGGGAGGGAAGGTAGTTTGTTGGCGGTTGTAATTTGGGGTTCCGCCAAGTCCTTATGTGATGGAAGGATGATAAAGCTTAAGAGTTACAGGTGAGGGTTCTCTCCTGTTTGGGGATGCATAATGGGTATAAGTATGAGAATTAGTCCTCTCATTCAAGGAGGGGTAAAGAAAGTAACTGGATAGTTAAGTGCTAATAATGGATTGAAATGTTTATGGTATGGGCGGTATAATCATGCATGGATATGCATGTTTTAAAGTGGTTCCCAAAATTATTATGTATGAGAATATAATTTGTGATGCGTGGATGATGATGATGATGATTATTTCTCAATTAGAAAGGTCGGTTGGGGTGGTGGTGTTTAACCTGGAAGTGGAAACAGTTTGAGGTGGAGGTAGTTTAATTAAATATATAGGATGATAACGTGGGTTTAGTGATATGTAGGTGTTGGGTGCTAAATAAAGACAGAATAGAAAACAAGCCAATTACATGAGATGGTTTATTTATAAATTAAATTATGAATAGCTAATGGGTTGGCTACGATTAATGAGTAAATTGTTATTGTATTAAACGTTGTCATGTAACTTCTTTAAGGTAACGGTCAAGCAAGAGCTGCAGAGAAGGGCAAGGGTATATCAGAGTAATCGAGTTTTTAATAATTCTTAACCTGATATATATTTTAGTATGGGCATGGTATTCGGGTCATGAAGTGGCCCGGATACGTGGACTTGTGATAGATCGATAAATGAGCTATGAATGAGTAAAAGCTTATATGATGAGAATTGATAATGTGGATATGTATGAGTTTGCTATTTTCAACGTGCATTGATGAATGAGCTATGTGAAGAATGTATTGATGTGAAATTGAGATGATTGTGTATAGCATCAATGAGTATATGATATGATATGTGTGCCTACGGGCTTATGACGAGATGCTTTACATGAGTATTGTCTAACCCATGAACTACGTGATCACCTAATAAAAATATAATGGCGCCTTGTTATGCACTCATGAAAAGAAAAAGAGAAGAAAAGAGTTATACGAGAACTCCCTATAAGGAGTATCGCCAGGCCTAGCTACGAGTTCACGAGATATGGCACTTCGTGCCCACGAGATTACGAGTTCAGATGATATGGCACTTTGTGCCCACGAGTTTATGAGATTTGGCACTTTGTGCCTACGAGATCACGAGATTACGAGTTCACGAGATCCCATGGAGTGCATAACTTGGCATTAAAAGTAAAATGTACATAACCTAGCTAACTATGCTTGTGTTTGAGCCTTGGTACAAGGATTTCCTGTGATGTGGCTAAGTGATGTTTCCTTTGATGTGTTTAGTAGATTGTTCATAAGATTGGCGTATTTATGTGAAGGCTTTACTGGGATGTGTTCATGCAATGATTCATTATGAGATTGTGTAGTTGCAACATGCCTCCATATGTTGCTGATTATGTGGTGATACAAAAATGTGTTAGTGAATGTTTTTACGTGGAATAGGGTTTGATATGAGTACTTCAAGGGTAAGTCTGTATGATATGAGAACCGCTTAGATTGGTTAATGAACCTTGCATACATAGTTGGGTAAAGTACCATTTAAGCTACTAGATTCGTTAAGTGAACTTAAGCCCTTGGTGTACCTGATCACCGTGCGCAACTGGAGTATATATTGGGTTATTGATTACTCATTGAGTGGCGTCTCACCCTGCCAATATTTTTCCCTTTCAGAGCCAAAGCAACAACAGAAGCCTCGGCCGAACCAGTGAAGTCAGCCGGATGGCTGAAAGGTGTGCGGTGGAACTGAACTCTCCACATGTTCTCACTTTTGAAGTCGAACTAAATGTTTTAACGCTTTTAAGTTTGTGTACCCACTGAATGTTAAACTACTATGTTGGGTTTGTACTTTGTTTTAAACTCAAACTTTGCATCGTTCGGTGTTATGCTTTTGGATGCTGTGGGAAAACTAGCTTGAATTTCCTAAGCAGGTGATGTAACCCGTATGCTAGTGTTATGTCCAAGTCTTAATGCGATGTTAAAAACCTAAGGTTTAATAAGTATATAATGTGATGATGGTTCCAATAGTACGAGAAGAAGTAGTAGGATGTTACAAGAAGTAGTAGGGTGTTACAAATTGTGGTATCAGAGATGAGATATGGTCCCACGGGATTAAAGTGATTTTAATGAAGTTTTGAATGGTTTTATAATGAATTTTAAGTTGAAAGTGTATTTAAGAAATTGTTTCTGATTTTGCTCTCCTTGTCATTTTCATGTGGAGTTCAGTCAAGGAGGAAGAGAGGATTCCTCGCCACCTCAAGTAGCAGGTTCAAATCAGCCTCTTCCCGAAAATCAATCTGAGCCTCAGGCTAATAACCTACCTCAGGTAGTTCCCTATAAAAGGGATTATACTGAGGTGTGGAAGATGGGTGCTGAGGCCTTTATGGGTTCTATAGATCCCAAAGTGGCTGTAGATTGGCTGAAAAAGACCGAGCGCATTCTCAATCAAATTGGGTGTCCTGATGACGTCAAGTTTGATTATGTTGTAGCCCTCCTCGAAAAAGATGCTTATGATTGGTGGTTAACAGTACCCGGGGTTGTGGATAACACCGTTCAACTCACGTGGAACGATTTTCTCCGACTGTTCAAGGAGCGATATGTGCCAATCGTCTACCAAGATCAGAAGAAGGTGGAGTTCTTAATGCTGAAGCAAAAAGAAGGCCAGACGGTGGATGAATATGAGGTGACCTTTCATCGTTTGATGAAATTTGCTATGGATATGGTCCCAACTGAAAAAGATAAGTGCCTTCGATTTGAGAGGGGGCTCCGTAAAGAGTTAAGGGAAATGGTATCCATGTCTGATACGAATGGTTATGGCAAACTGAAGGCCGCCGCCATAAGGGTTGAAATGATTTTAAATGGGAACAAGTCTCGTACTCAAAGTTACGGGATCGAAGATAGTAAACGGAAGTGGAAGGGGTCATCCTCAGCAGGTCAAAGTCGAGTTTCTAGTTGGGGTCCTAGTAAGGGAACTTTACTCAGCGCCCTCGAGTAAGTTTCCCTAGGGCACCTGCTTACCAAAACCAGATGAATGCACCTTCACCACTTGAATGTCAACATTGTGGAAGGATGCACCAGGGAGAGTGTCGGATCGTGACGGGTGCTTGTTTCAAATGTGGTGGTTTTGGGCATCTCATTAAAGATTGTCCAACTTGGGGAGATACAATGCCGGTTAGGTCCCAAACTACTATGCAGGGATCCCGAGTGGCCAGTAACTTCTCAAGGGGAAATTTTAGAGGTGGATCTAGCAGGGGAAGAGGACGTGGTTCTGAGGTCAGAGGGCATACAATTATTCAAATGGGCAGAGTTGACATACAACCACGAGCATTTGCTATGACAAGAACAGAGGTGAATGCATCTCCAGAAGTGGTTACCGGTATGGTTCTCATCCATGATAAACCCGTTTATGCCTTAATTGATCCTGGGTCTACTCACTCATTCGTGTCTCATAAATTTTCACAACATATGCATGCTCGACCTGAACTATTGCCTAGTAACATATTTGTGAAAACCCCCATTGGTGATACTATTGTGGTCAATCATGTTTATGTTGGTTGTCTTATGATCGTATTTGGAGTAACGTTGCTTGCTGACTTGATGCTACTTCCAATTGATGAATTTGATGTGAAACTGGGAATGGATTGGTTGAGTCGACATAGGGCTGTAGTAAATTGTCACACAAAAGAAGTGGTATTTGAGGTACCCGAGCAAGGAAGTATTGTCTTTAGTGGAATTAGGCAAGCAGTACCTAGTTGCCTAATATCTGCTTCCAAGGTGTTGAACTTAATTAAGGAGGGGTGTGTGGCCTTCCTTGCCCATGTATTAGAGGTTAAAGAAGAGAAAGATCCAATAGATGTAGAAGTAGTGAATGAATTCCTGGATGTGTTTCCATCCGACCTACCAGGACTACCTCCTGATCGGGAGGTAGAATTCACTATCGAATTGCTACCGGGCACCACACCTATTTCTATACCACCGTATAGGATGGCGCCTGTGGAGTTGAAGGAGTTGAAAGAGCAACTTCAAGAGTTGCTAGATAAGGGATTCATAAGACCAAGTGTGTCACCGTGGGGTGCTCCCGTACTATTTGTGAAGAAGAAGGATGGAACCCTACGGTTATGCATTGATTACCGAAGGATTAACAAGGTGATTGTGAAGAATAAATATCCCTTGCCCCGTATTGATGATTTATTCGACCAACTGGAAGGGTCAAAAGTCTTCTCCAAAATTGACCTAAGGTCGGGATATCATCAATTAAAGGTGGCAGAGGAAGCCATACCTAAAATGGATTTCCGTACGAGGTATGGACATTATGAATTCCTTGTTATGCCATTTGGACTAACAAATGCTCCAGCTGCTTTTATGGTGTTGATGAACTAGGTCTTCCAAGAGTACCTAGATAAGTTTGTGATAGTTTTCATAGACAATATCTTGGTGTACTCTCGAAGTGAAGAAGAGCATAGGGAGCATTTGAGGATAATCCTTCAAATCTTGAGAGAGAAGTGGTTGTATGCTAAATTTAGCAAGTGTGACTTTTGGATGGATCAAGTTATATTTCTGGGACATGTTGTTTCCGGAAGGGGAATTGAAGTTGATCCAAAGAAGGTGGAAGCCGTGGTGAAGTGGGAACCACCAAGGAATGTAACCAAGTTACAAAGTTTCTTGGGAATGGCAGGTTATTACAGAAGGTTCATCGAGGGATTTTCTATCATTGCCTCGCCATTGACAAAATTGTTGAGAAAGATCATCCCTATGTGTGGAATTCTGAATGCCAAGCCAGTTTTGAGGAGTTAAAGACGAAACTCACAACTGCACCTGTCTTGGCACTACCAGCATAGACAGGTGGTTTTGTGGTTTACAGTGATGCCTCACATCAAGGCTTGGGTTGTGTTCTAATGCAAAATGGGAAGGTAATTTCTTATGCCTCGAGACAACTGCGACCATATGAAAAATCCTACCCTACCACGACCTCGAATTGGCGGCAGTGGTTTTTGCTCTAAAAATTTGGAGACTGACACGCCAAAACACAACACCAAACTGCGACCAAGTGTAATCGCAGTCCGAGAATGCAGTAAAATGGCAAGTTCTATTATCAACCCGGGGTCTAGATCTACTGCTTACTCCGTGAGTATCTATTATCTAGCCAACTAAGTCAAGTGTTTGTTGTTTTAAGCAAAAGCAGAAAGAAAGCAGGAATTGGTACGGTTTTCTCAAGCAAAGAAGAGTCACTCGGGAATGAGTCCCCCTAGCTCCTTAGTTAGGTTTCAATTGTAATTTCCCTGGGTTGATTTACTGTTGATTAGACTGTGGAAGATCCGACAGTAGATTGGAATCTCTTAAGCTGACCAAGCCCTCTCAGTCTAACTACCCGGCAGACTACTAGTCTTCACCGGGATAGAAAGCTGAAGCAATAAGCACAGAACTCCACTACTGGAATTGGATTCCAGTACAAAGCAGTAAACTGGCTAACTCTCGTATAGCCAATCTCCTACTACCGAATGATGAGGCTCTAACAACCTAATCAGATTCTATATATCTCAGGTTGCAGCAGAAATCAGGAAAAGCTGATCAGACTTCAATTGACTCAATAAACATGCATCATTCGATTAAAACCAAGCAGTAATATCATCCCAAGTCATTACAATCAAATCCCTAACACATGGAACTAGGGTTTTTCATACCCAAGTGAGAGAAGGGTTCTACTCCATAGAGAGAGAGGGGAAAACAGAGTACAAAACAGTCATACTCATAACTATGGGAAGAATCTGCTCTGGGATGATGATTTCCACTCCTATGACGATCTCCAAGCTCGATTTGATGCAACCCAGCTCCAAGATAGCTTCTAGGATGTGTTCTTCGTACTTTCTCTCTCTAGGGCTCTGTTTTTGCTCTGAAAATCCGATTCCCTCACTTGCAACCCGAAATTGGGTAAAAACCAGAAATTCCCGACTCACACGGGCAGGCTCACACGGCCGTGTGGCATACCTAGTTGCCCGTGTGAGGTCAAAACGCCGCGTTCCGAGTAATTGGATTTCAGGCTTCCTACACGGCCAGGGTCACACGGCCGTGTAGCTCACCCAGCCTGGCCGTGTGAAGCCTCGCAGAATTCCACACGGCCAAACTGCAACTTCACACGGCCGTGTGGGAATTACTTGTGCCCGTGTGAATGCTCGCACAATCCCACACGGCCAAATTGGTCATTTGCACGACCGTGTGAGTTGTGAATGTGCCCGTGTGGCTTCATTTTTGACTTGCCTCGCACCCGATCTTTGTCCAATCGTCCCCGAACTCGCTCCTAAACCTTCATTCACTTGCTAGGACCTGAAATATCACAAACAAACACAACCTAGCGTGAAATCGGCCTAAAACACGAGAATTACCATCTCAAACGGCTCCAGAATAGGGGTAAAAACATGTGCAATTAACGGCTCATGAAACTCCCCCACACTTAACCGTTTGATTGTCCCCAAGCAAATCAAGTCAGACACAAGGTAAGCTTACCCATTTCAACCATACCATCATTGGGGACAAATCATATAGGCACAGAAACACGTGAATCATACTGTTTTCAAACATCAACACATGAACAACCTCAATAGCAACCTGGACAACCACCACAGAAGACATTCGAGTGCAGAAAAATCGAGTAAAGGAGGAGTCTCCCTTCTGTTCATCAACCAACATAGACTTGACTCAATCACTCACTCAAGACAGTCAACTCATGCATAAAACTCAAGACATCAGAATCAAGACCGAGCCATCTAGGTCCTCACAGGGTAAAGAGTGTTAAGAACAAGGAAATGAATCGCTCACTCTCGACCAGTGGGGTCAGGACAATTTGATGCGAAAAATGCGCATACTTATTCTCTCAACTCCTAACATCTCTTCACCATGACGGCAGCCTCTAAATGTTAGAGTTCACATAAATGGTTGTCATCACTAACTAATCAGGAGGTCTTAGACACAGGTTCAAGTGACTGGCTAGGGTCTTGGACATGGGGAAAAGACCTTTTAGGTGGTGGAAGTATTCATAGCACAAGGTTCCACAATTCCAAACCCAACAAACTCACAGTCAATCAAACCAGTACTTTCTTTCTGCTATTCTGCATTACTCAAATTCAGAGCACAAGAGCGAAGGAGGTCACCTAACTACCAGTATTTCTAAGCCAGACTGCTAAGAAACACTACTTAATGGGCACTATTTAGATTTTTGGTGGTGGCTCACTTTTGCTTTCATTTTTTTCCATTTCTTAAGAGAACCACCACCTCTGCACATTTTCAAACACCTGCCCAACTTTTTAAGAACTACCTCCAACTCTCACATTACATTTAGCAGAAGCAGCAGAGAACATGTAAAAATCACTCTGTGGAACCTTCTAAAAGATGCAAAAGGGTGATTTTTCATTGCAGACCAAAAGAAAGGAAAACACACGGCTCAAAGGGGCTGACTAGGGGGTATGACACACCAGGACAGTCAATTTGGTCGTGGGCTAATCCTATGCCTCCATCATCTTAGCTAATGACAACGTGAATGCTACACATCATGGAAGAGGGAACTATCGCACAAGAAAGAAACGAGCAGGCTCAAATCTCACATGGCTACCTATATGCTCTATCTCTCATTCTGATTCCCTGAACTAGATGCATAAGAGACTATCAAGAACAAGTAATTAATCCAAGTCACAGTTGGTAAGCAAACAGTTGAAAAACTGAACCCTACACAACTCCACTGCACGTCTCAGTCATCATTATAGGTTGTCCTAATCACCATCCAGTTGTCATGCATTAATCCAAAAACCATTCAATTCACCAATCAAAACACAGTGCCAATATGATCAAACAGCCGTACTTGGAGCCCTCAAATCTCGAGATTTGGACAGTGGACTAGGCTCCAAGCACACGTATATACATTCCAACCGATACAAAGCACCCCCCACACTTAAGCACGACATTGCCCTCAATGGAGCAGAGGGATAGAGAAGGGGAATGATGTTA